TGGTCTTGTCATCCCCCACCCTCCCCAGGCAGCCTTATTTTATTTAAATGAAAAGTTTCCCGGTAACTTGCGGGAACCCAATTTAACAAGAGGCTAGACAGGCAAGTACCGAAGTCTGTAACCTACAGAGCTTTAAACCTAAACCGGGGTAACTGATGTGAGGCAGAGCCATAAAAACTACTGGAAACTTCACTGTTCTGCCTAAACAATAGACTGACAAGCATCAGGCTCCCGGTCCCATAAACCCTATGCTTTGCTTTACGAAGCGATGTGCAGACCGAAATCAGGCATCAGCAACTTACCCACTAAGGGCAAAGCGAAGTACAAGAGAACGAGAAACATCTTGCTGTCTTCGGATGGTTTCCCCAAACGACTTGATGTGTCACAACAAAGATGATCAGCATGTAGATATTCCAGTACCGCCGAGGTCTAAAGGCTCCAAGTTCAGATCCATTGAATTCAAGGGGGAAGGAAAAAAAAAGCCACCAAGCAAAAAAAAACCCCACAACCCCCTCTCCTCTTCACCGCTACCACCACCGGCGGCAGAAGCAGCGACGCAAACGCTGAGCTTTTCCCTTAGATTTCAGGTCTGAGCAACCTGCAGGCACGAGCGCTGACTCCAGTGCGGGAGCGAGAGGCGCACGCACGGTGTGTGTGTGCTGTGAGATGTGTGTGAGTGAGCGAGCGGCAGCGGGGCAGCAGCGCCGGTCGCCTCCTTGGGTGGGCAGCGCCTGTTCCCAGGGAGGGACCGAGAGCGCACGGGGGGCGGGAGGGGGGTGCACACACGACACCCGCAGCCGGGGCCAGCCGCTGGCTGATAGCCCCGCTGATAGCCCGGCTGGCAGCCCCGAGCCCCCACCCCGGGGCAATTCGCCTCTTCCACCCCCCCGACCGCAACTTTATTGACGCGCCGAGGCCGGGGCGGTGCGCGGGGCGCGCAGGCTGCGCGGAGCGCTCGCCGCCGGGGCGGAGCGGGGGTGGCCGCGCTGCCGGCAGCCAAAGTTTGCCAGGGAAAACTGGGACGGGCGGGAGGCGCGGCCGCTCCGGTTCCGCCGAGCGGAGCGGGGCCCCCCTCGGCCGCGGCGCTCGGCAGGAGCGGATCCCGGCGGGCGCCGCCGGCACCGGGCAGCCGGGAGGGGCGGCGGCCCCGCGGNNNNGGTCGCGGCCTCCCCCTGCCGGCCCCGCCGCCCGCCGGGGAAGCCCGGGGCGTCCCGGGGCGCCGGGAGCACCGCCCGTCCTTGCCCGCAGCCTCGGCGGGGCGGGCGGGCCCCGCATCCCTGCAGTGCGCGGTGCGGTCCGGCCCTCGGCCGGGGCCGAGCGCAGTGTATCGGCTTCCACTTGGCTCCTGAATAAACAAAGCGAACATATGTCCCATATTCGTGACAGATGGTTCAAGCAGAGAACTATTTAGTGGTTTTCCCACAGTTGCTACTATGTACCACTCCCCCGAAACCCAACAAAATGCAATTAGCCTAAAATAGCTTCAGCTTCCAGATTTCCTTATTTTCATATGTGGAAAATTTGATTCAGGTGTTTTTATGTTCTGGCTGCAACCAAATGTGTTAAGTTGTTTTGGGTTTGTTTTTTTCTGTTTCTAAAAGAAGTCAGCATATATGTTCATTGCCAGTTTTGTCAACAAGCTATTTGGCCCATTCGACTCAAGGAATTTGCTTCTCTTTGCAATAAATTTTGCCTAAAGGAGTTTGAGTCGCCTCATGAGATGGGAGATGATCAGGCTGGCCACTTTTATAGCAAAAACTGGATGGCAGATGGAGCTAAACTGTTGAAAGGTACTTCAAAACACTTATTTAAAAGCCTAGCATATGCCAGGATATACAGAGAGTACAACATTCATAGAACCCAAATGGAAAGGGCTTATTTTTGTTTGCCTTGCTGTTCGGGTTTTTTTTCCCCCTCTCTTGCCACGCTTACTTAACAGATGGATTTGCATTTCTACCAAAAAAAGAACCCCAAAACCCATGACCCACAATAAAAATAAACAAAATCCAACAAAAACCAAAAAACCTGTGTAAATTACTGGTTCTCTCAGTGAAATTGTAATAGTGATATCAACTTGAAACTGATTAAGTCACAAGTTTTGTGGTTTGGTGTTTAATGTGAAGAGGCATATTACATAGTCACGAAGTCTATTATCTGCTGCACATACAAGGATGTAATTGGAGGAACAAAGACAATGACCAGATTTCTGGAGTATTTCAGGGTAATGAGAAGGTGCTAAGTTGGTGATAGCATTGACGACTGGAGACAGCTTCAGCTTTTCAAATCGCTGGTATTTAATGAAACAAGTTGGTCTTCCAAACACTTCAATAGAAATTGAGCTGAGTGATACAGAGAGATGATTACTTCTTCACTGGTAATTTTGACATCATTACGGCACACGATAAGCTCTGTATAGAAGTTATCTGTGTATCTAACACAAAGGTAGCATAATTCTCCTGTCATTTACAAGCCTAAGTCAAGAATAGCTACAAGATTCTCAGCAGAGGATAGCAACTGAAAATCAGACTGAAATCCAGGCCACTTTTTACAAAACCATTCATGCATTAATGTCCTGAATACATACATACACACACACAGACATCTATACACACAAGTTATTTGGCATTTAAACAAGCAATACATTGTAAATCTCTGCATTAATAACTAATTTTACTGTTATAAACCAGTTTTTGTGGGGTGTTTCCTGTTACAGTAAAACTGAATTCGCATTTTAAGTGTTAAAAGTGGAATAAAATGTCGCTGACAGTTCAGAAATAACAAAACAGCTGGAAAACATGCATCCAAAAATTCTGAATGCTATCTAAACACTCCTCTTGCCAGTATTTTGACTCGTCTCAGGAAAACTACCACCCAAAGTGAAAAAAAAGGTTAAAAGGTTTTAATCGAGAAAAAAAGTTTAAAATGCAACCATGCTTGAAAATCAAGATCCAAGAAGAAAGTCCATGCTGCATACGGTTCCTCAGAATATCCAACTGCTACACACTCTTTACCAGGACAGTAGGTGGGAGACAGCTCCTTGCAAACCACAAGGACATTTTTCCATAGCAGAAATTAGGGTTTTTTTCTTTTTCTCTTTCATATATGGAATTATTTATAAATTTCTGTTGCAGACAAAACCCCATAAACCACTTTGTGGCTGGAGTCATAATCCTTTGGGTCTTTGCACAGTGTTTTCCAACTGCCTTTTACTTGCCCTGGGGTAAAATTAAGTCATTGAATGTTTTGCTGTTGATTTCAGTCAAACCAAGGTCTGCCTTACAATTTGTATCTGTCAGTCATTCAACTCATGAATCTCTTCAGATAAAAGTGTAAGCCACACAGAAGTACTTCATGCAAATATTTTAAAGATATTTAAGCTTTTTTAAATATTCTGCTGGTCAGGTTTTATAAAAAAGTTTCAGAACAATTAACATAATACAACATACATAGGGTGCAGCTGGTAACAACAAACACTTCATTATAGGAAGGATGACAATACAATCACCCTGGATTATTGTTTAAAGGCCATTACAGTATAAATAATGTGGAAGGCAGAACCAAATACTCCAAGCTACTTGCTGCCAGCATTAACTGCTAGTACTTCAGTCTTCATGTAGTTGTAGTTACTGGTTTCTTTCTACTTGGAAGCTGGTTTACAGTAGTTGGTTTTCTTTCATTGGAAACTTTTCACAAAGAAAAGACAAATTAATGTGGGTAGTGGGGTTATTTGACATTAAAACTTCAGTAAAATTAGTGCTTCAAACCCTTTTCTTTCCAAGTAGATTGAAGTAAGTGTTTTAAGCTTCCTGTCACCTTGCCTGGTGACAAATACTGGGCCCAAATGTTCTGAATGCAGCAACAGCACCAAGCAAGAGCAGCCTGTGTCCATCCAGGCCATCTGCTCCTGGTGGCCAGGCATGCACAGCTAAATCAGAACTTTGCTGCGTTCAGTCCTGCTGATGCCCTTCTGCCTCCTCCTCTGCATGTAAACTAATGACAGCAAACTCTTCAGAGGTGTCACACGCAGAGGTGCCTCCCTCCAAGGCAGTGGATGTGGTGGATGTGGAAGCCAGTTCCACTTGCAAACGCTGCAGTGTTGGAGCACTGTCTTGGGTTGTTCTGGCTGGCAGCAGCTCGGATGACAATGTACCCCTGAGCTGGCAAGGAGGCTGAATTAATCCATTGCCTGGCCCAGGGTTAGCCTGCAGATTCCCTTTGCCATCTCTGCCACAGACCTCCTTTTAAAGAGTGAACCTTGCAAGAAAATATTGAAGTTGGAGCCACTGAGCCCAGGGAACATTACACAGTATTATCTGCAGTGCCGCTAGGTATGTGAAGAGAAAGTATGCTGAGAATAAGAGCAGTGCCATGAACTTTAAATACAATTCTTAGGGGAGTGAAGAGGTGAAGCAAAGCTAAAGTTGACGAATGAGTCAGATCTAGCAGGTGAGGGAGAGCAAACTACTGATGGGAAAAAGTCTGTGTGCTGTGGGAGCACAAAAAGTAGTGTTTACACAGGAGGCTTTCTTCAATAATGAGAAAAGGAGAATAGAGAAGTTAGAGAATCACTAGGGACTGGGGGAACAGTCTGAACTGCATTTTTTGTCTTACATTTATCTGCTTACCATGAAGTCAAAGTGCCTTTTGGTGGGAATAAGGCAAGAAGGATTTGCTCAAGGCATTAAAGTTTTGTAAAGGGCAGATTAAATAACAGCGCTCCAGAAATCAATTTTGAGGGGCTTATGAAACCTTGAATGGGCTTTTGCAGCACAAAAGCAAGATTGAGTTTTTACTGAACCTGTCATTTATTTGGGTTTAGAGCTTTCAGTAAGTATCAGAAAAAAACCCCATAAAACAAAGGCAAAGTAAGCAATGAGCATTCACACAGCAATCAAATAAAAAACACGTGGAGGTGCAATCCAGATTACTAAGTGACTTAATTGATGGGAAAGTATAAGAAAAGAAAGTCAGAGTTTCACATCTGCCATCCCCCACCCCCTCTCCCTGGGCTTTAATCAGACCTGGTAGTGAATTCCCACAGCTCTTCCTGGCCAGCAAGTTTCTCCTAAACTCTTGTGTCCGTGTCCTCACCAGAGGTTGTGCTGATACACTGTCAAGCCACCTGGAAGGAGGGAAAAAAAAAAAGAAAAGAAAATAAAGGAAGAAAAATAAAGCTACAAAATTCAGTAGAATAGATACAGAAATACCAAAAGAGTACAATGCAAGCCAGAGTTTGTAGTTAAGAAACACAACATACTAGTTATCCCTAAAACCATGAAAATGCTGATGGAACTGCCGCTATTTTTAAAGGTAGCTGATAGAAATTATTCTGTTTAACTTTAAGTAGTGATCTAAAGGCATAGGCTCTGATATTTCTCCCAAACTGGTAAGAAAAGTGTTGTAGGAAAAGCCAATCCCTGGCTGGCTGGATTTGGGATTTTTGCTTTAAAAATGGGGTAACGCCGCCCCCTAGCCGCTGGCAGGGACAGTGCAGGCTGACGCGGGCAGGGATTCCTGCCCCGCAGAATCCCCGGCACGAGGCGGGGTCCAGCAGCAGAGACTCGATGTGGCACGTTAATTAAAAACATAAAAGATGACCACAAAATGAAATATCAACATTAATCAGTAGTAATTCGTGTGCCCAGGGAATCTGGAGCAATACAGTTCAGGTGCTACAACAGCATCATTTGAAACTTCAGCTTCCAGATCAGTTGGTCAGAGCATGGTGCTTGTAAGGCCAGGGCTGTGGGTTTGATCTCATGTGGACCATTCATTTAAAATCTGACTCAATGATTCTCAGTCCCTTCCAATTCAGAATATTCCGTGTGATTCTGTGAAATACATCAGCAGCATCAACCTTTAGCATCCCCTGGGCATTAACAACCAATGGGATTCAACCAAGGCCACAGTTTGCTTTGTAACTTGGAACCTTCCTTTTGTCTTTAAAATTTCAGTGATTGCCACAGCTGGGGCTTCTGTAATTCATTTGGTCCTGAACCACAGGACAGGAATCCCTACCTTATACTACATAAAATATTTTTACATTAATGAACCTAGCTCATGTTTTTTGCAGAAAAATTAGAGCTAGGAAATTACTTATTCTAATTGTCTAATTGTCTAATTCTGTAAGAATACTGCTTTAGAATGCAGAATACTGCTTTAGGTGCAGAATACTGCATCTACACTGCTTTAAAAACATAACTGCATGAGCCTTTCAGACCACTGAAATCAGACTCTTGATCTGAGAAAATCCATGTTAAAATCAGAATATTGGTATCTTGTATTTTCATACTGGTTCACTTATATGTGGATTCATTTCCCTCCATTTTTAATTGAAAGTGATGAAAATTCTGTGTATAGAATGGTGTATAAAGGTGGTGTGATTTTCTGCTCAAACATGCACAGCTCTAGTGATGGGTATTCAGCTTTCACTGTTCATGCTACCCCAGATACACACACACTAACCAAGCAAAGCATGTTAAATCAGAGAGGAACATTTTGCTTTCACTTACTGTACATATCTTCTTCCAAATTGTGGGACCAAATCTGCCCTGACACCTGCCCTGTGTAGGGAAGTCAAAAAAAGATATATGGAGGTTAAAGCCATTTTAGAATTTAGTGACCAAAGGCAAAATTATCATCTTGGATTGTCAAAGCCGTATTTTCTGTACATTTGCTAGAATAGCCCTGACGAGTGAAATAAATTTTTCTCCTGATGGTATCACCAAAATTGTAATTTTATTGGAAGTTTCTCTAAAGGTTAGTGACTCTGTCAGTGTTAATTTCTGTAATCTCTGTTTCATCAGTCTTCTCTGAGGTAAGAAAATTTGGGGACAAAAAGTCAAAAGATATTTATATGGGACGTGAAAGGATATCAAGGAAAAATGGAAGCAAAAGAAACTAGTGTTGTGAATGCCATGAGAGTTTTACTGAGAAACCAAAACTGACTATTCTCAGGTACCTGTAATCAGCTGTATGTCACAGTATCTCTGCCTTTACAGGTGCAGCAATATTGAGGGGTTTATTGTTTGCTTTGTGGGTTTGTGGGTTGTTTTTTTGGTTTTTTTTTTTTTGTGGGGAAGGTGGGGGGGGGTTTGTGCCTTGTTGGGATTTAAGGAAGCGTTGTGCGTTTTTATAAATTGCTTTTTGTGTTTGGCTTATGGTGGATTTTTTTTTTTTATTTGGGCTGGATGGGAAGAGGTATTTGTTGGTTTGTTTACTCAATTTTAAGAATAACTGCAAAAACGTCAGAAAAAATTAAAAAGCAGATCAGAATTTGAACTCAGAGGTTTAGTCATAAAAGGTATTGAAGAAGTATGGCATGAAAAGGCAATATTTCTTGAATCAGGAATGTCTCCTTAATTACCACTCTTTTTTTTAATATAGTTTAGGAAGAACCTTATGATGAGATAATTCTCCTTTAATCCAATTGATTATCAGATGGAAACAGTGTTGAAAATCAAGATCTGTTTGTTCTATTAAAATACCCCATAATCCCATTACTTGGCTTCTCTGCTACTGCTGCAGAATTCTGAGGGAGCAGAGCACACACCACAGCAGTGAACATGACAGGCAGAGCACGGCAGTGAACATGAAAGCCACAGTCCCAACTGATGGTATTGGCAGGTTCTTCCCTTTTCTGTGAGCACTCATTGATCAGCTACAGCTCTGTCTGTTCAGGGAGTTTCCCTGGTTTAATCATGTGATGCACAGTTAAATCTACAGCACTTGTTTCAGATGGATGGAGTTACCTGCTGGGAACACCAGTAAAGGAAGCTTTTTTGCATGTCTGCATCTGTCTTGCAGTTTCAATGGCAGGCATAATTCATGTGAAAAACAACAATGCGGACTTTTAAACTTGGTCCTGAAAGTCATTTACATGTATTCTGACTATCTCAGAATAAAGGGTATCCTAACTCAGCAGTAAAAGTATCCACAGGGGAGGACTCCACATTCTGTCTGTCCCTCTGTGAGGAATATGGGTGTGGAATTACCATTTTCTCCACACCAAATCCATTCCATCCCTGAGAAACTTTTCTAAAGGCCATACTTGTGAACTCAGCAATGGCTGCAGACACGAGCAGTCGAGATGTGTAACTTACTTTATAAATGGCAAAAAGTCTAGGAATCTTCAGCCCCAAGTAAGGAAAAGAAATAAGTTTCTGATGAACTCATTTTCATAGGAATTTCTGAGTTATTAATTTATGAAAGAAGAAAAACTGTTTGTAGACAAAGTGTTAAGATAAAATGTAAATACTTTATAGTAAATTTAAAGCTGTAACAAATTACCTATATGCTCACAGTGTGACCCCTCCAAGTTTCTGACTTGTTTAGTTATTCAGTAGAACACTATTTATAACAAAATAATGCGAACTTGTTTAAACATGTACAATGATGGCATCTTGCCAGTATGAAATGTAAGCGTGATGTTCACAGAATTGCAAAAATCCAAAGCAATTGAGATTAATATCATGGTTTCTGAATTTGATTATATTATAATCTTTATGACTGGAGCTAGCCAGAGGGTTTTTTTGTTTTTTTGGTTTTTTTTTCTTAAATTCTTCTAATTCTTAAAATATTTTCAAAATGGTAAAAAAAAAATAACATGATAGTTGTCACTATCTACAAGTTCCATGTCATCATCAAAGCCATGCTATTTCCTGTGGTTTTTGAATTTGCTCTTTTTTTGCAGAGCTTCAATAAAGATCCAGTTAATATTTCAAATATCAAAATTATATTCTTTCTATAATTAAAAAGAATATTATACCACATGTTTATGTGCTTTTTGACACTTGTCCATACCCACTTTTAATCTACTGTAAACAGACTGAGTTAAAGTGATATGCCAACCCTGAAGTACAAATAGCACAAATTTCAAAATTATTGATTTCTAGCAGTGCTTGCAGGCATTAAGCAGTACTTCTTCAGACATTTAAAATAGCTCATTTCAGCACAGAGACCCACTGAAAAAAGCTGAAAATATTTTGAATACTGACTGCTCAGTCAATATTAATTTAAAATTGAGGTTTAGATCTTTGCTAAAAGTGAAAAAAAAATTTAAACTCCTTTTATCCCATGGGATACCCTCTTCCTCAACCCAAATCACCATATTCTTACCTATTTCAAGGTGTCAGTCCAACACTTTTGCAGAGGAACACAGTATCTTGTAATTGCAATGAGCAGTGAAATACTGTGCTGACTCCTTGGAGTTAGACATAGCAGAGTTTGCTTTCCATCTTGTGGGTGGACTTATAAATTCAGCCCTACTCAGGTTTCCTTGACAGGGAGGTGGCCAAGTGCTTTGCTCTTCTATCTGAGGTGATCTGGGTCACTGGTACAGCACACAAGTAAAATCACATGAAGGTAAGTGACTTCCTGCCAGCAGAGGCAGGACTTTGTTGATATCAGGAAACTAAGGCTTTCAAACTGATGTTTGTGTCACAGTTTTCCTGTGGAATAAAAGGAGAATACATTTTTGATGGCAATAGCTTAGACAACAAATAAGAGGTTAGGACACATAGGAAAGGAGTATTATATTATCTAAAATGCATAAAATGAAATTGCCTTCAAAAATCCTATGTTTCTGATCAAAATTTAAAACAAGCCAACTTAAAATGACCATCCTGGTTTTGGCCATGTAGAGTTAGTAGCTATTGCAGTGCTGAGTTTGGATTTGGGATGAGAATAACATTTATAACACACTGATGTTTAGTTGTTGCTGAGCAGTGCTTACACCATACAAGGACTTTTTTTTCTACTCCATCATCGAGGAGGCTGGGGGTGCAAAAGAAGCTGGGAGGGGTCAGAGCCAGGACAGCTGACCCCAACTGACACAGGGATATTCTATACCATGGCTCATCTTATAAATTTGGCGGATAGCTGGCTGGGGACAGGCTGGGCAGAATTCTGTCTGTAGCAAGCAATTGTTTTTCATTTGCATCACTTATTTTTTGGGGTGGTTATTTATCTCTTTCTGTTATTTTCCATTTCATTCCAATTTATTATTCTGATTTTAGTTTATAAACTGTTCTTTTCTCAACCCACACTTTTCTAAGTTTTACCTTTCTAATTCTCTCATCCCACTGGGGCAGGAGGATTGAGGAAGCAGCTGTGTGGTGCTTTGTTGCTGGCTGGGGTTAACCACAACAATGACTCAACAAAAGTTTTCAGCTTAAATTTAATCACACAATTTATTGGGAGTGGTGGTGGGGAGGGAAGCCAATTTCAACGGGATTTATGTATCAAAGATGATAATGAAAGGAGTTTAGTTTTATTTTACTGCTGCTCCAGATGGTACTCAAAAGGGACTGAGAAGCATGGGAGAAACCATTCTCTGTCTGTGAAGGTTTGAATTTGGAATGTTCTGTATTCCAGGCAATTGCCAACTATTTCTTACAAGGTTCCATGGCTTGTAACTCTGGACTCCACAGAGACAACAGTATGAAGAACAAAGCAAAACTAATTTGGTGATTTTGCAGTTTGCATCACTAGCAGACAACTAAGCATTTGTTTAATTCACAGAAAATTGCACATTTTGGAGGACTGGCAGGTTTAGAGATGTGAATTTTCTATAGATGTCTCAGGCCTAAGGTGGGTTAAAGATAACTTACCTTCCAGTGAATATTTATAGATAATAGTAATATTTATAATGCCTTTATAAGATTTTTATAATTTGTCTTAAAAGATCATTTACCAAAACAAAAAACACAAAAAACAGATAAAGAATTGATTTGACCAGACTTATGAATCTGCTATTTTCTTTGACAAGAATTATAAGGTGAGGGACAGACTGAGTAGCAGTAGATTACATTGTCATTTAGCAACCTGTGCTTAAAAAAAAAAAAAAATAAAAAAATCTCTTAAATTTCAACTTCCCAGATTGCAAGAGATAAACCTCATCTCAGAACTGACACCACTGTAGAGGTTATGAAAACTGAACTGCATTATTTCAAATACACTTATTCAGAATCCACGAAGGAGTATGGAGATAAACCAAGTATCTTGTTTTTATGAGTTAGCAAGATGTCAAACCAACCACTACAAGCATAGATATAGATGTCAATAATTCACACTGAATTACTCAGTAGATCTTTTCATACAATTATATCCTATGTGGCCTACAGTTTGAGGACCCATATTTGTATAAAAAGCAATCTTTAGAATTGCATATTATACATACAGTGCGTTTACACATTTACATTTACATAAATACATTTACATTTCAGTACATTTAAGTGGATTGTATCCACTTAACTATGACAGGTGAGTTAGTAGCCTAATTGCTGTAGGGCCCCTACACATTTAATGAGATAAAGCACTACCATTTTCCAAACATTTCTTTCCAGGCAGCAGTTTTTATGCCTTTTTAGACAGTTTATGTTATAGAGGAATACAATACTCTCCATAACCCCAACCACTATGATTTGGAGAAGAAATATTTCCTAATCTCTATCAGGTGATCAGTTTAATCGTGATCATATAGGTAGGTTAAATCCAGTTAACACCTGACATCCTAAAAAATTGCTCCATTTTTGCCTGCTTCTAATCTTACCGTTTAAGAAAGGGCAGTCCCCTTCTATACTTTGCACCAAGAAGGAACATAAAAGTTCTGGGGGATGCAGAATAGAAAGGCTGGCATGTGGAGCAGTTAGAAACATTTCTTTTTAGGGACTGTATAAAGAAAGTACACGAACGAGTTTCCAATTAAGCTTCCTTGGCAATGTCAGTAGATATCCAAAGCTTTATATCCCAAACTTTATATTCTGACACATGATCTCTTCACCATGTCACACATACCCTTTATTAATTTATAAATTTCCATCTGGAAGTAGTTCAGGTCCCTGCCTCCGTGACCTTGCCTATAAGCAGTTCCAGAGCTTTGCACAGATTGCCAAGAACCTTCTTTTAAATTTCTCATTTATTCATAATTGTTTGTAAGTATCTGATCTTGAAATAGTGTTATCCTTTAACACAAAAGTTGCCTTGCCTCACATCTACCCCCACACATACTTATAAAGAAAACCATATGCCCTTTCAAGCTTTGTTTTGCCGGATAAGCTATTTCCATCTCAGCTGCAAAAACAGGTACTGCTTTCCCCTAACCAGCCCACTCTGCACCTGCTGTGCATCAATGTGGGTCATGAGAACTGTAAACAATATTCTGAGACTTGTCTTACCAGTGCCTTGTAAAGCAAAATTAACACTTTGTTAACTGCCTTCACTGAAGATTCTTCATCCAAATGTACTCTGAAACTGCTGTGTGGCCACGACACAACAATGGCTCATGGTCACACCACAGCTGATTAATGCATTAAACCTCAGCCTTCACTGAAGATTCTTCATCCAATGTACTCTGAAGCAATGGCTCATGGTCACACCACAGCTGATTAATGCATTAAACCTCTTCCTCTGGCTACTGACAGCAATTTTCAAGACACCAGTTTATACTAGAACATGACATTAATTCCCAAGCACATCCCACTAGTCTCTGTACTATTAGATTTCCATTTTGTCAGTCCATGAGGTCATTTACTTTTTTCTGATACACTAGTCATTCTTAATGCCATACCCATTCTCCTTCCTTCACCAAGTTCAAAAATACTATTAAATCAGTGCCAAGATCAGTCCCAGAGGAATTCTACTAGTAAACTCCTTTCATTTTGATATTTTCATTTTTAAGAGAACCACATTTTAATATAACTCTTCACTTTGTTCCTCTTCCACCTTCAGTGCCTGCATTAAAGCTCCTCTTTTCCACCCTCAGTGACTTCCTACACCAAACAATATAATGCCTTATTTCGATCAAGGTAGATTAGGTCTGCTGCATTACTCTTCTCTGGGACAATTATCTTATCAAATAAAGATATTAAGTTAGTCTGATACTATCCTTCCTTGATAAAATCATGTTGTAGTTTTTCCCACTTTCCATTTACTTCTAGGTTCTTGATTATTTTTTTTCCTTCAAAATCTACTCTAAGACCTTGCTTGGTGTTGAGGTCAAACCACCACACCTGCATTTCATTTGACCACCTCTTTTCCTTTTCATGAATACAGGCAATAACATTATCAGTCTTTAGTTGTATTGTGATAGCCCTGAATTGAACAGATACACATAAAATCCCTACAAATGCATTCAGTGCAAATCAGCATTGCAGGATTCTTCCAGTGCCCTGAAATAGGCATTGTTGAGCCCTCTCTATTTTTTGGCAGTAAATAGGCTTTGTTCAGCTGATAGCTCATTTGGGAAAAATTCAATTGTTCTGTGTCTCTTAAGCACCTTATTTTTATTCTTTTTTGTTTAATTTTTTTTTGGCAGCACTGGGAGATCTAACAGCATTCACAACCAGCAACAACTGCTTTGAAACTGGCATTTAAGACACACTTATTTATTTTAGCTGTGGAAGAGCAGGGTTAAGAACACCATCAATAGTAGCCTCAATATGATAGACTTTTTCAGAGAAAGAGGAATAGGCCAAAACTATGCATGAAAATACATATGAAAGCACTGTGTGTTATTCACTTTTTAAAACTCTGCTGTTTCTACTATGGATATTAATTTGGTATTCAAAGAACTGACTTAGTGCAGATATTTTAAATATTCTGATTTGTTTTTCAAAATGAGAAAAGAGTAATTATTTTTAAAGGAGTAAGATTTTTGCCACTTATTCCAATTCACTTTCCTTCTGTTATCTTCTTTCTCAAAAGACAAGCTGTAAAAAGACAAACCCAGCAGAATTATTTATATACTTTTCACACAATCTGTGAATAGACATGTTGAATGCTTCTGGAAAGAAGTGACTGTAATACAATGCAAATTATTAATTTATGAATGTGGCACAATTGATAATACATACTTACTGCAGCTGTGACTTTCTACTCTACTTGAATGGAATGCTTTTATTCCTGCCTATGCTTGAGTCCTGGCAGATGTATGCAGATGTGTGCCATGAAGCCTTTGAAAATTTCAGGATTAAAGGTAGCTAATCTTCCAGAAGCATCAGTGGGAAGGAATATGGAAGGAATAGAAACCTAACTCTGGGTTCTCTTTTTTTATGCCACCTTTAAAAAGATGAAATTACAGCATAACACCAGGATCAATAGGCAGTAAAGTTTATGTAGTGTTATTTATCACTGTTAAGTCTTTATTAAATATGTACCTCTGCCTGCAAAGGGCTGTGCAGAATGAAGAGGGCCCAGTTTTATAGAGATACAGTTATAAGACTGGATTTTACAAAGCAGCTTGTAAAACCTGCCGGTAGAACATACATTTTCCACAATACCCTCAAGGAAAGAAGTATTCTGAAAACTGATCAGGATATTTTGAGGCAGTAGGGACAATAACTTTTTTTTTTTTTCCAGAATAAATTATTAAAATTGAAAATTTCTTAGAAAACGGAGTATAAAAGTTTTAGGGTTTTTTTGTTTGTTTTGTTTTGTTTTTTGG